AGGATGCTCAGTGATAACAAGATCAAGTTCTTCCCTCATAACCACACAAATCCAACATGGCCAGCAAGTTTAACCATGATGTACGAATATGAAATCTTTGACCTGGACCGTAATGAAATTTTAGGGCTACAAGGGGTCACATTTTTGTCCCTCTTCCTGTCCTTCTCAAGAGACCATTTCATTTTTTTTTTCGAACTTTGTAGAAATAGACCATACCATTTGAACATGTACAAAATCACAACTTTAATAAAAGTGTATTTTTTTGGCCATAACTTAGTCTGATGAGGGCAATTAGATTCTTTAAATATATTTTGATTCTTTAAAATTTGGATATTTTTCCATTTCTATGTGTATATGTTAACACTTATTGGGGTTTTTTCTCACTAAATCAGATTATGTATTTTTATATACTGGTAATATATTTCAGTATTTTGATATATGTTTCAAATTACATCTACAGAACACTCATCAAAAATGACATTGAATGGGTTCCAGACAATCTGTTCTCTGGAAGTAACTTGGAATACATGTAAGTTGCAGCCAAGAGTTAAAAAAAAACATTGAAATCTTGTTTGATTTTAAGGAAATATATCTTCAAATAGATGCATGCTTGATATAAATCTGTTTTCATTGTAGTGGTCTGAGCAGAAATAGCATTCGATATTTTCCTGGGAAAGCCCTCCAAAATGCAAACAAAGTACAATTTCTGTAAGTTCAATTTTACCTGTTACTTTAAGGTACTTCACGCCACCAAATTTAATTAATTGGTGTATAGTCATCCCATTGATACATATACTTTGTTAAAAAAAAGTTACTTTTCAATAATTTGATTAGTATTGCTTTTTAAAAAATGGGAAATATGTATTTTTAGGAGTGTAGACGACAACCAGATTCAAACAGTATCCAAAGCTCACCTGTCATATTTGGTCAACTCGGATTTAAAACACCTGTAAGTTGTTAAATAATTATGTTGTCATTAAATAATATATATACCCCGGTACATATTATGATGTCTGTACAACATGAATATTCTTGTACTTATACTTATTTTCTTGTGTTCTTTTAGCCCACATAAATTTTTTGTAGCCAAAACTTATTTCTTATTTGTTTCTTAAATCAAGGATTAAAACTTAATTTTTTGCAGAAATCTGAGCAACAATCAAATCAACTACATACAGCCAGGGTCTTTCTCTCAGTTACAGAAACTGCTGATTTTGTGAGTATCCTGTAAATGGATTGAAAATAACTGTGTTCCTTTAATAGCATAATATATTTAGTAACAAAAAAATACTGCTGATAGCTAAAGGGACTTTTTTGAAAAGAATTTGTGCTAAATTTTAAATTTATGTTTTCACTCCACTTTTTGTTGTCAGAGAGTTGCATGATAATGACTTGGCCACAGTAGAAGAAGGAGTGTTTGGAAACATACCTAATCTGTTACACTTGTAAGTACAAGGAGCACCTCTTAACAGTCATAAAAACAATGAAAATGCCAACAAAATTGTTATAATCTTGTACAATACATGTAACCCTTTTGTTTTGTTGTTTTCAGGGACTTGGTGAGGAACAACTTGCAGATCTTGAAAAGTAAATACTTCACCAACATGCCCACACTTAGAACGCTGAGACTGCACTCCCAGAAAACCAAGATGACCAACATCTACTTTGATGCCTTCGAGAACATCAACGACAACCTGACCAACCTGTATGTGTTCATTATTACGATAAATGACCTAATTCTGTCTCTTGTGTATTAAGGTGGTCTTTCTGTACCATCATTTTGAAAGAAATTGTGTCTCACTCGATTGTTTCAAAACTGAACATCTTTTGGCTCACCAACTCTTTTAATACATGGATATTTCCACAACTTGATCAATAATGCATGCATATTCTATCAATACTTATGTTGATTCTTACTTTGGCTGGTTATTTTCAAGACCAAAAGAAATTGCAAAATAAATGTACTGTATAAAAGCTCTATCATTAATTTAGAGATTAAAGTAGTTAGAATAAAGTACATTTGTTTAGGGGTATACTGGGGGTATACTTTATGAAGAATAATTCTTAAAATGTTCTACATTTAATTCAGTGCTCTCTGGTATTTTACAAACTGCTTGGACAACCCCTGAAGAAATGCAGCATTGGTTTTGTTTTATAATTGTAGATGGGTCAGTGACAATGCTTTAACAAGTTTTCCTCACCAAGTTTTGTCTGAGCAGACTTACTCCTCACTGAAGGAAGTGTAAGTATAAAATTTATTTATGGTCATCAGGAGAGTCTGATGATTAATATTTTATTTATGACCTGTACAAAGAGAAGTTGTTTTCTTCTGTGTTTTTTTAAATGTGCATTTACAACAAATACTTTGTGTTAAGTTCAGTGATTATTTTTTTCTTATAAAAAAAAAAGGGTACAAGAAAAAAGTGAATGTTAGAGTTTTGATTTTCCTCGCAGGTATGCAGACACTAACCAAATCACTAACCCTATTGAGTACACACTGGATGCATTTAGTCTGAGCATGACCTCAACCTTTAATGCCAAGTCAGGAGTCTTCAAAGTGTGGACCAAATCACCAAATATTGAAAAACTGTAAGTTGTTCTTCATGTGAAGTTTGAATTTGAAGGACATATTTAGGAAAGCTTTGATCTTCTTGTGTAACTGATAATAATTATGTGAAAAGATAATCATGTTAAAAAAAAATGGTGGTTTATTTGGCTAAAGCCAATTTCAGCTATTTAATCTTCTGAAATCATGATCATTCATTTTTTTCTTCATAAACCAAAGTGCTCAGGTGAGTGATGTGGCCCATGGCCCTTTTGTTTGTCTGTGCAGTGAATTGTCCTCTATCAGGTGAATGATGTGGCCTATGGGCCTGTTGTTTGTCTTTGCAGTGAGTTGTCTGCTAACAGGATTGCTGAGATCAAGTCGGACTACTTCTGTGTGTTGACCAGCCTGACCTATTTATACCTGGACAGTAACCTCATCACAGACGAGAAGTTCCCTAACGATGCACTGGACTGTCTCTCCAAACTCTTTTACCTGTTAGTACATGCATACTTACTTTATATACTTTACCATTCAAGTGAAAAAATAAATACAAGTACAATTTATATGTATAAGATTTTAACTTCAAAGTGAAGAATTTTTATACTCTGAACTTTCTTTTTTGCATGCAAGAAAGATGAGTTTTGCAACTCTTTTACTTGGAGGTATTTCTCACCACAAACTATTTGTTGAATTGATTTCATAAAAGTTCTTTTACTTTTGTCTCCAGTTGCACAAAATAGTACAAATGCAGGTTTTGATACTAACAGTAGCTTGATGGCCCGAGACAACTGAATGTTGAGTCCTGTGGTGCTACTGAAATTCTAAATACCCCCGATTTGCAACTTTGCCAGCAGCCTTGGACTGTTGGACATCTAATTCATGAACAGGGATAGAATTTTAAAATGCTAGTTTGTGGACTTCCTCGGTTTTAAAAATTGTGTTGAACCCTGAAATTGCAAATAATTCTTGTTTTATTGTTGGTTTTCGGTATTTAATCTGTTATTTTTTTTTACAGGGAGCTATCGTCTAATAGCTTTAAGTATGTCCCCCAGACTGTGAGAAGCTCGGCTAACCTGACCAGTCTTAGACAGCTGTACCTGGGATCCAATGACATCACCTTCCTGGAGGCTGATACCTTCACCAGCGCCAACCTCACTGTTCTGTAAGACCACTTCCTGAAAGTGTCCAAAATTAAGCTACTGATTATTGAGCAAAAATTAAAAAAAAAACACTCTTAAATACTTTTGTAATGTGCTGAGAATTATTGCTTCATTACATTTTACAGGGGACTTCAGTACAATGGGATTCTTGCAGTGGAAGACAATACATTTTGTAAAACTCTGAGATACATGTAAGTCTATAGTCACTGTGTTATATATAATATATATATATACCTGTAAGTCTATAGTGTTTAATATTTTAAGAGGTCAAGTCCATTCTAAGATTTCTGAATGTATATTATGAACATTGATATAAAATTAGTACAAAAATGTATAAGTATGCCTATTTTTAACCATGCTTGTTTTTTTTTTTACAGATACCTTCACGGAAATGATTTTAGATTTACCCACAAAAAGCCTTTTACAGATATGTCAAATCTGGTTCATCTCCAGTTAAACAACAATGAAATCGATGATATCCCAGATGAGGCATTTGATGGATGTACCTCTTTGGCAACTTTGTAAGTGTCTGCTTTCCTTCAGTTGCCTTCAGTACTAGGAATACTATCAGTTATCCAGGTCTGGACTAGTACTGTAATACATTATACATGTACCTATTTCATTTTTCATCTTTATATCTGTAACATTAAAATTTAACTCTGACCTTTATCTTGAATTATTAAAGAAAGTAGTGTCATATTTAAACATGTTAAAATCACAATTTTATCTTCAGGTACCTGAACAACAACAAGCTGGGCTGGCTAAAGGTCACAATGTTTGAGGACAATGTACTTACAGATTTTAGAGCAGCAAGCAATGAAATAGCCTACATAGAGGATGGCACTTTCAAAAATTTCACTACCATGAATTATTTGTAAGTACTTGTATGCACTTGTGTATTTTGCACTGTAGTTTATTTTGAAATGAGCTGAATACAGACCATTGTTCAGTTTGTGTGCTACTCACTGATTGAATAGAGTTTATGGAAGAATGAGAATGGTAAAACAAGTTACAAAAATTACAGTTCAGTTATGCTGTCTTCTAGTTGAACATTGGTTTCTTGAATAACCTCATTATGTTAAAGTGAGTTGGAAGTTCCAACTACATGGACTACATGGACATTCTTTAAGAATTTGAGTTCAAGAAAACAAGGTTTGACTGTTGTATGAAATAATACATCTAAATACAATGGGGTTATTCGAGTAAAAAAGAACAAACTTACATGTGATTCTATCCTTTTACCAAGATGGAAGAGGTTTTTTGATCAATTATCATACATAAGGTACGAACAAAATGATGTACCTTAAAACAAATTTTAACTCGGGCATACATTGCCATTGTGAATTGCACTGGAAAACTTGACAAGGTTTTACATTATACAGTCTTTGTAAGGATTCATTTAATAGGGCTTATTGTATTTGCTTTTCTTTGTATTAAAGCTCATCAAACAGAGGCTCGATCACATCTTTCCCCATCTGCGTTTGTTGTGTAGCATCTTAATTTTTTTTATATTTTTGATGTGGTACTTTACAGGTACCTGGGTAATAATGAGCTTACCAAGCTACCAACAGGAGGAGATTTCTCTGACAAGACGATCACACACCTCCAGCTCCAGAGTAACAGAATCACGGAAATCAACACAGGGGTCTTCAATAATCTTAATGTGGCCTACCTGTATGTATAGAATTCATAAACATAACCCCTTAATATGCTTTTATTTAACATGTTTAAGAATCAGAGAAAGTTCAAAATGAATTTAAAGGCTGATGTTTTGGGGCTGTTTTTGACAACTAGCTTTATTGATGAGGATCTTTGTATCTCTCTTGAACCTGAATCCAGATTGTGCTTCAGTCTTCATACTAGACCAGTTTTGAAGATGCCCCACCTCCGCCCCAAATCATAGACATATTGTATTTATGCAGACTCTTACTTTTAACACAGGTCTCTTCAGAATAATGAGATATCAGTGATTGGATCTGAGGGGTTTAAGGGAGTCAGTGTTTCCCAGTCTCTGTCCATGACAGGAAATGTCCTGAAGAAACTGGAGTCAAGGGCCTTTGTGGACGTAAACATTGATCAGCTGTGAGTATACCAACGAATACTGGTGAAATAAGTACATGTATCTTGAACATGGATAATTTGAATATAATGGATATGTCAAAGTGATTATTGAAGTACCAAGTGTTTTTCTTCAAGTATTCTACACGCTATATCTCAAATCTTTTGATACTCAAAATTCGAGATAATGAGGTATTACTAGACTTTCTTGTTTTTTAGATAAAATGCGAAATGATCCCATAAAATCATAAGTAAAACAGGATAATGACAGGTAAACATTTCCTAATTTTAGCCAGACTGTATTTTCCCTCTTTATTTTATCAGGAGCCTGAGTGGGATGCAGCTGACCTACCTCCTGAAGGATTCCTTTGTTAATGTTCAGGCCACAGACATCTTCCTCCAGAACAACCAAATTGATTACATTGAGGAGGGCGCATTTGACACCATCTCCATCAGTGATGATCTGTGAGTCATTGAAATTAATATTTTTGTTATAGATATTATATAAAAATGTTCGATTGTTTGAAGATAAAAGATTAATTCAAAGATAAGAAAGGGGGGAATAAAAAAAAAAGTTTTTGTCAACTTTTTGAGAAGAAGAAAAATCAAATGCTAGATAACAAAAGAAATTAAATTTTATATGAGCTGTTGAACATGTACTTGTCTTAATAGACTGCATAGAACTTTCTATTGCTCTCTTTAAGACTCATAAAAGATTATTTGTATCTTTTTCAGACACCTGTATGGGAATGGTATGACATCACTTCAGGGAAACATCTTTGCCAACAGCTCTGTTATCTCGGATTCCTTGTTTTTATACAGTAACAACCTCTCCTCAATACCCATCAATGCATTTGATAACCTGTCTGTTAGAAGAGTGTAGGTCTTATTTGTTTAGATCCAAGTCTTACAATAATTGTAGCTCAGACTTAAACCTGTTGTTGAGATTTACTTAATATCAAAGCTGTATGTTTAAAGTTTTGATGCGCGCCTCTCTAATTCAGATACCTCCAAGACAACGTGATAACTGACTATCCAACAGATACTCTGTCTAACAAAGCAACTCTCACTACTGTGTAAGTATGTCATTGTACTTATCCCCTCCTCTAAAAAGGGGGGACTATAAAGAAACCAATTTAACTTGTTTAGAAAGTACTTAAGCTGTGTGTTTTCATAAATGCAAATATATGTCAAATTTTTAATGTTTCTGGAAAAAAAATTTTAAGTCTAGGAAATATTCATGCATAGATTTACTTCACAAATTTTTACTCAACCTAGCTATGAACTAGAACGATGTGAAAATCATACAAATATTTGGATATCTTAATGAATATGTTTAACTTTATATAGAAAAACATTAGTACATGTAATTCTGTTGACATGTGATGAAATGTTGAAATATTTCTATAGAGACCTGACCAACAACAAGATCTCCTCGGTCACTTCCTCTACCTTCCTCAATCAGGCATCTCTCACTTACCTTGACCTCGACAATAACCTTTTGACCTCCATATCTAAGGATGTATTTACACCACTGATTTACCTGCAGAATCTGTAAGTATAATTTTAACGGAAGTAGGTGAAATTTCAAGTCTATTGATGTTTATCTTTGATACACCATGTTAATTACTTGACTGCATGAATGATGTCTATTATGATGAGTTTTGTCAGAAATTTTAATGGAATAAAAGTGTGCTAAAATGTTACCTGAAGGTAGGATATTTTTATCCCTTGAAATTTTCTCTAAAGATTAAGAACTTGAATATAACAACAACTTTTACATCAACTCTGACATCTCTGATGATTTGAGCAATGAAAATTCCTTTCAGTGTTATGTAGCACATGCATTCTACATATATCTACAAATTTTAAACATCTCAATTTACCTTCTCTAACAGGGACCTGAGTGGGAATTCCATTGGTTACGTGGAGCCTCTGTCCTTCAGTTCTCTGACCGCCTTACAGACACTGGACATCTCGTCCAATCAGCTGATCTTCTTCCCTAAGCTTCCTAACATGACCAGCCTGAGATCTGTAGACATCTCTCATAACCAGCTACAGTCCATAGAGTATCAGGCATTCGACGACTTTGTAGGCAGCAAAGTCTTCAAAACTCTGTGAGTGAATTGTGTTCAGTTTATCTAGGGTATGACTTTTATATATTTGATAGTAAAGTGGATTAGTCAATTAGTTGTGTATATGTTCTTGTTTTTATGGACACTCAATGTGACTGATATTCTTGGTTCATTAGTATTTGGTTCATGTTCATGTGTAGCATGATTGTTAGCTTGGTACATTACATGTACTTGTTGGAGATTATTTGTGTTAAGTATAGTATTACAATGGATAATCCTTACATAGATTTTTCCTTCCAAAGCATTTTATTTCAACTGCAAACCCCATGTTTCAGAAATGTACTTTTCATGATCCAATGGAAATTTTCTCATTTATGACACAGTATTTAAAGCTTAAAATGACCAATTACTGTATGCATGGTTATTTTCGCCCCGTGCTATTTTCGCTCTCTTGCGCTTGCGAAAAATTTTGCCCCGTTTTAAATTCGCTCATTCATAGTTCTCTTTAAGAAATTATGCTGTGTAATTCAAATTCGCCCCGTTTTAAATTCGCCCAATCAAGAAGAGGGCGAAAGGGGCGAAAATTTCCCTGTATACAGTAATGCTTTATAAATCATTTTATGTTAACTTACAGCAGAGAGACATTCAATAACCTAATTGTTGCTTACCCTTCTACAGGAAGCTTGATGAGAACTTACAGATGGGATGCGATTGTTACCTCTATGAGACCCTCCTGGCTGTACAGACCACTATCAGTGGGGGTCAGTGTGGGACCCCAACCTCTGTCGCCGGGGTTATGTTTGGATACTCCAATAAAACTTCCCCCATGTATTTTGAAAACCAACAGCTCACAAAGTTTTTGTGTTGTAAGTAAATGTATGGCAAAAATCTTTGCTCATAACACAAACTTTTTTCCCTATAAGAATCAGACAAATATTATTTTACTTGGGATTCAAGTTAGGAAAGATTTTAAGAAGTACCTCCAGATTTCTGACTTTGTTAGTATGAAATATTTGGTTATGTCAAGATTGACTTTTTTTTAAAATAATGAGATGTATATGTTTTATACTAGTTTGCATAATGTTTTTTTTAATAAGCTTATTTTAATTTGAGAATTCTTTATTACAGCCCCCGTGAACCTAGTGGCCTCTTCCCCCTCGGCGACCCAGCTGACCGTGTCCTGGACACGCCCCAATAACACTGTGTCCTCCAGTACCTACATCGCTGATGCTGTGGCCAGTGGCTGGTATTTACTGATCATATTTCTCACTTCTGTTTTGACTGAAAGCTTGGGTATATGAACTCTAAAAACATACATATATCTTGTGTTGCTATCATGCAAGTGCAGCATCTTGTAAAAGTCTTGACCCTCAAAGTGAGCATGGGGTGATAAAATGGTTCAGATTTTATGTAGGCCTTGATAGACTTTCTATTAATGTACATGTATATGCAATTTACGTCTGATCATGACAATCAAAGAATTATTTTACTGAATTGTAAAATGCTCCTTACTTTGCACTTTGTCCAAGTACATGTAATTAAGCCTGAAGACAAAGACGACTTAAGGGGTAAGGAAGGCACAATATATTTGACAAACATTTATTGTACATTTTTTCCAAAAAATGTGGGTAATTAAAATATATTAAAGAGCTCTTTCTTACTTCAGTTACATTTGTATTACATTTTATAAGACATGATGATAAATGAAAAACATCGTCAAGTTCATTGCTGTTAATTACAATTTTGCAGGCAGTACAGGTTGACCTGTACTAGCAGTCCTGGGGGAGTGGTGTCTCAGGCTTCAGTGAATGGTACCACACACACCTTTACATCAGGTGACGGAATCACTGCAGGCACCACCTACGTGTGTACCGCAGCTCTTGTCATATCTAATGCCACCAGTGCCGAGAGTCAACCAGTAGTGCTCACCACACAAGCAGCTGTTGGTAAGATTTAGACTAGTATAACATGTTATTATGTTGAATATTATTCTTAAGTCTGTGTTTTGACTTAAGACTTTGTACATGTAAAAGTAATCCATTTTGCTAAACAGCTGGTTGCATATTTTGATTTTGATTCTGCCTTATATGTTTCATATATATAGCACAAATATTTTAACAGCTCTTTTTACCTCTTTTTATTATCAGCCACTGGTCCTAATGTAACAGTAGGAGCCACAGACTGGATCTTGCCAATCATTTACTATGATTATAGGTTTGTTGAGACATCACAGTTATTTTTGCATGCAATCAAATAAAAATTAAATGCGTCAAAGCAAGAGTAAAATTTGTTAAAAGACAAAGAGTTTAAGGCTGTTATTCTTACAGATAAATGGTGATGTTATCACAGTTCTGTTTTATTCCAGTGTGACAAATTCTGATTTCAATGGATTCTCTAACGCCATCATCTCTAAGCCAACCTATGTTCCGAGCCCCTATGGATCCTGGCTGTTGAGATCATCTAATCCGTCATCCGACACCTTCTCTGGCTGGTTTGTGGATCAAACGGGAACCTCAGTGAATTATGTGTATAAAGACAATATCACACTGTCACTTATCTCCTCTTCTTCCCCAGTAACACATCGGTAAGCGGGGATTTCTGGATATCGCAGAGAATTTGGGGATAAATGTGCTGCTTTTGTTTATATTTTATCCACAATTGTACCAGAGTTGCAACAATTAAATGAATCCCATAAATAAGAGCATGTGCATTGCATTGAGTTTACAATGTTACATTTCACTCTGTAGGTTTACTGCCCAGAACAGCTACTTTCCTGTGGACAACATGGGGTTTGGTAATCAGGACAAGGACTGCTATGGAGTGGAGCACAATTTTGGGTAAGTGCTTTCAGTTAGGTTAGTCATGATTTCATTTGTGGTAAAAATTGTCACACAAATTTGGATCACTACACAGTATTTCTGTGCATTGAAATCCAGGTGCAGCTCACTTTGATAATGCTTTGTCATGTAAACTTGGATTAATTTTGATGCATGTGTTTGAGTAATTAATTGAAGGTTTGTCATCACAGATTCACCTCCGCCATCAGATCAGGATTTGTTTTCCAAGGCACCGAGTCCATCACTATAGGAGGTGGGGACGATTTGTGGCTCTACCTTAATGGGAAATTTGTGATGGAGATCAGTGCTAGAAATACAGGGACCAACGTACCCTGTAAAAAGATCATTCTCAGTGCAGCTAGTACCCCAGGTATCATATTAGAGTTCAAAACACGATTTTATTTTTCCAGAAAATGGATATTATGAAGAAAATAGGTGGCATGGGTATTGATTATTTGTAATTGTAGGTGGAAGCTACATCATACCGCAGTATGGTCTGGTGTCCCCTACAACAAGCTTGTGTGTAGTCACGGGTACCTTACCAGCAGAGCAAGTGCATGTTGAACTGGAGGTAATGAAAAGAAAGTAAAGCTACATGTACATGTATTTCTCAAGTCTTCACACTCAAATCTTAAGGCATAAATTTTGATTTCACAAACATTTTACCAGGTAGGGGAGAGGTACCATTTCTCAATTTTCCATGTGGAGCGACTGTCCTGTGCCTCCAGTCTATACATTCAGACAGAAGACTTCCAGTTTATTGTGGATCCTGCTGAGGAGCCCCCCAGGGACTACATTATTACAGTGGCGGAAGACCTCCACCAGAACGGTATCGTAGCGGAAGTCGTATTGGCTGATATCTTCTCAGTGGGTCCTCCGTTCACCATCAACGTTCTCAGAGGTAAGTTAAGGATAAGAAAACTTTTATAAACTTTGAAAATCATTATGATTCTAATGTGTGTCTTGAAATGGAGTTCTAATGGAAATGCTCATTATTATAGGAAATGAGGCCAGACATTACACTTTGAAGGACAAGACGACAACTAATGTGAATGCTGCAGTGGCTCCACCTACAGTTCCCCCAACTTATACCACCATTGATGGACATACTTTTGTTGGTAAGGATGAATTACATGTAAATGCTTCTTTGATCTCCAATAAAAGTGATAAAATTAAGTTTTAGCTTAGATTTATGATAAGAAGTATGTGTTTTCACTTATGACAAAGTTTGTATATTCTTATTATATATTTTTATGTTAGCTTGACTGAAAGTTTGAACATGTGTTCTTTACTTGAATTCTTAATTTCAGAATGTGCCACCCCCTCTACAATAACCCCTGAGAGCTATGATGGTACGGTGGAAGCCTTTACAATGAACACACAAACAGCTCTGTTTACACTGGACTCCAGCCTTGACTACGAGGTCAACACCACCTACAGTGTGGTAATGGAAGTTGTTGATACAGGCAAAACCCCACCTTCTACTGGCACAATCACTGTCAAGGTAAGTCTACAAATACTGACAGAATTACTGCAACAGCTACCTACAGTGTTGTAGTGCAGGTGGTGGATCAAGCAAAACCCCACCCACTATTGGAACAATAACTGTCGAGGTAAATTCAAGCATAGGATCGAACCACTGTAATTTGAAAAGAATCTATACTATACTAGCACACTTGCTTTTAAAAGTACATGTAGCTTTTAAGTTACATGTACTTGGCTCAGGGGTTGGTAAGAAATAGCAATGATACTATAAAGGTGGAAAAACCCTTGTGGCTCACGTTTCCCTGATCTTATACAGAATGATAATTTTCTTTTCTTTGCAGGTTAAGGTGTCTGATGTGAATGACAACTGTCCCGAGTTAACACAGACATTGTATCAGCTCAGTGCTATCCCTGCTCTCAGGTCCTCAGCCCTGGCTGATCTGACTGCTACAGACATTGACAGTGGGAATAACTCGGCTCTATCCTTCTACATCTCGACCATCACTGAGGAGTAAGTCAATTACTGTTGCTCAGCATTCATAAGTAAAGCACTTTGACAACAACTGTAAATAGTTATATATGGATATTTTTGTGCAGAAGATTTGTGATTTCTGTGTTACAAGAGTGGGGTTTTATGGAGGCTCAACAATTTACAAAATATTTTGGTTTCTTTTTTAGTATGGTACATGTATTTTTCTGAAAATTGTGTTCACATGGTGATGAATTTTGGGATACTTTACATCACTAAATTTACAAAAAAAAATCTCATCAATCATTTACATTATCACTATGTTGTAAGAATTATTAATTATAGAAGTAATTTTTGAGTCATATACTTTTTATTACAGTCCCCCCATCTCCATTTTCAATGACACCATGGACCTATACAAAGAGGTCTACGAAGCCAATACGCTGTTGAAGTTTAAGGTGATTGTGGTAGATGGTGGTAGCCCCATGCGAGGAGCCACCACCTCCGTGGAGGTTGACATTGACAACTCGTGTCTGATTGATGTGGAGTACAAAGCCATTCCTTATACCATGACTGTTAATGTCTCCACAGGGGAGATTTACCACAGACTCCCAGGATATTACTATTACGAATACAGTATGTATAGCGTATTGCTTAATTCATTTCTTGAATGATTTGTGTGCTTTTTGAGGCTTTTATAGTGTCGGTCAAGTAGAGGAATTTGATTTTTGCACTGGATTTATAAAAAACAAAGGTTGTTATTTTAATGAAAACTTAAAGCTCACGAGGAGTGTTCACTATTAGCTGTTACATTTTGTATGTGTTATATTTTTTTACATAGACTGTAATGATGCCCTGGGAATGGAAAGTGGAGTTATTCTAGACAAGTACATCACTGTGTCATCTTCCTCCTCAACAAGTGGAGGTGAAAGAGGCCGACTCAACATGACACAACTGCCTGGTAAAAAAACAGTCTTCTTTTTTTGAGTAGCTTGTCAGTAGGTTCAAATAACAGGACTCGACATTAACGCTTGTCTGGTATCATTGAAAAATAAATACGGACAAGTGAATATTGCTGGGCACTTGTCCGATTGGACAAGTGCATTTTAATGTAAAGGGGTCTCTAAATAATAAAAAGAACGACTGTTGAAAGCTAAATCCAATCGATTGAGCTAAATCGGTAGTCTCAAGACGGAAGCTGTACATAAAATCTAAACTTCGATCCCGATATGTATCGCTATTATTAATAATTATTGAGTCCACATTCGATCGGGATCGAAGTTCACTAATTGCATACTAGTGAAAAGTCACATGGAAGTTACGAACCGAAGTGTGATTGTTTGATGTTGACAGGTTTACTTGTGGACATTAATGTTATTGTCAGGACAGAAAGCCTAAATTAAATTTCGTTTTTTGTGTGTCTGCTGTATTTATCAATAACATCAAGAATCAATCAAGCGCATGACATGTGTAAATAAATGGACTTTATTTTAATTTTCAAGTTGGAACTATTGAACTTTATTGAAAAATTTTCGGACAAGTGAAGTCGAAATTCAGACAAGTAAATGTCTTGGTCACTTGTCCGAATGGACAAGTAGGAAAAAAAGTTAATGTCGAGCCCTGAATAAATATTTTGCTGAGTTGCAATGTTTAGTCATACACGTACTCTGTATATCTGATGCGTAGCATTTATGATCGTATAATTTAACCATTGACAATACTTTATGGTGTAATTCTTTTTTACAAATATTACTAAACAAGCAATTGTGATTGCATTGTTATCATGAAGTTTTTCTTTCCAGCCAATCTGGGATCTTTGACGGGAGGCTGGGTCCCCACTGTCAGTGATACCAGTCCGTACATAGAGGTCAACCTGACAGAAGCCACCTTTATCCATGTAGTACAGATCCAGGGACAGGACTCAGTGGACAACTGGGTGACCAGCTTCTCTGTACAGTACAGTGCTGACGGTGTTAGCTGGAGCACTTACTCCAACTCCTCAGGAGCCACGGTATGTCATATTAAGATCTTCCTAGGGGTAAGAAAGAGTCCTCTTTTCCCTCCCTAATACATGACATGTCTCTATGTTAATGTATATAACCTTTCTGGTCAACTGCATGCATTTTAAAGAGTAATTCTGACAACAGTATGCAAGTGAGTATGCTGTTATTATGTATATTCTTCTTTCATATATTTGCATTTGCATTAGTTAGGAATACAATTCAGACAGTGATTTATATTACCTATTGCTCTATGTGTCTATATATCCGATTTGTCTATAACTGCTCTGTCTCTTTGTATGTAGGTATTTGAAGGAGCCACAGACAGGGACACAGTTGTAAGTGTCCCTATGGTGCCAGCTGTGAATGCAACCTACATCCGGATTAACCCACGCACCTGGAATAATGCCATTGGTCTCAGACTGGAATTTAAAGGATGTTCTTTTGCCAAGTATCAGTACTGTAAGAGGGTTTCATTATTACTATCTGAAGTCTCACAAGATAAAAAATTTACAATGTCAAATTGTCTTGAATATGAGCCGTTTCTTGTAGATCATACATGTACAACATGTCAAGTCCAATGAAATGAAAATATTCAGCATGACTTGTGCTGAATATGAGCTGCTTCATTGTAGATCGTACGACCTGTCAGAGGTGTTTAACCTCCTGGTACTGTGAGGGGGACTCCACCATCAAGCCTTGTGGTCGCTGTGACCCCCCGGTCTCTGGTTCCACCTGTGGCCGCTCCCCCACGGAGCACAGTTTTGGAGCAGCATCATCCTGTACCACATGTCCAGAGGGCTGGGTAAGTTAGCTTTTAACTTGCAAAATATACCAGAAATTTATTTCAAGGTTTTCATTAAAAGAGAGGCTGCCTAACTTCAGTTAATCGAGTTCTTTTATTAGGATAGGATCTTGGAGGTTAATTTTCCTAATAAATCAACTTTTCATGCCGAAAGATTAATGTTACTATGAAGTTGAAAATGCAGACTTTGAAGTGTCTGATAGACATAATGATGTGAAAAATGTTGGTATAAAACAGATATGTAATGATGGATATGCCTCACCGTGTCCAGATTTTCACTATGTGACTTGTAATGACACATACTGCCCTACCTCCTGTACTCAGTGTGAGCTAGGCTACGCCTGTAGAGGAGGAAAACGCTACCAGTGTGAAAAGGGAACTTACTCTGATGGGAATGTCAGTGAGTAGAATTCTTATTTCTGATATATCAATTTCAAAAGTAATATGTAGTGTAAGAGTTAATAAATAAACAGTGGATGAAAAGCAGAAAAGTTTTTCATTATAATAAATACATGTGTAGTTTCTAAAAAGTGTTAAGTGTTAATTTGGCATTTACTTCATACAACCTGTAGACTTTTGTATATATGTGTATATTAATGTGAGGAAATGAAGTAAAAAAAAATCTTAAAATGACTAATAAGATGATATGAATATTGGATATGTAAGTGACCTATTATTATATAAATTGTCAATTTTGATCCTCCCTTCCAGAGTTCTGTACCATGTGTTCCCCTGGTAAATATCAGGATGAGGTGGGACAGAGCACCTGTAAGAACTGTCCCGCCGGTTACTACAGCTCCGCCAGTAAGGACCGCTGTGACCCGTGCGAGGCGGGGACGTACGCCGCCTCTGATGGCAGTGGGTGTAACTCGTGTGGCTCCACCACCCAGTGTCCCTGTCTGGGCAGCACCACCCTGTGTTACCACCCTGACCTCTGCTATAATATGGATGGTAGTCATGGGTGTCTGTCTTGTCCCACTGGATATTCAGGCAATGGAGTGACGTGTACAGATGTTGATGAGGTACATTTCTTATGTTAACTTAATCTGTTAAAAAGTTTAATGACCTTTCTACTTCTAAAGTTAGTATTTACCTAAATATGTATTTAACTTACATTTTGATTAAAAAGAGGCCTTATTTAGTACTATAAATCACTTTCTATGACAGGAACTTTATTATGCATAATTTCACAGGTCTGTTTGCTTGTGAAAATTTTATTCTCACTTATATTTATAGCAATTTGGACTTTAAATGCCAATAACCACAGTTCATGTAAATCTTGTCTCGCTTATAATTACAAAATAGCTTTTTCACATAAATAAGGTGTTGCAAGAATTTTGTGATCTACAGTAATTGGTATATTGATATTCTAATCTATTTGACGTTTCTATTTACAGTGTACCACTTTATCCCCACCCCCCTGTTTTATGCAGCGCTGTAGGAACACGGAGCCAGGGTTCCAGTGTCTGGCCTGTCCCCTGGGATATGTTGGTACCTACGAGGATGGGCTTTCCTTTAATATAAGTAGGAGGACCTTCCAGCTGTATAACAATGTGTTAGACCCCACACAGTCCCAGACCTGCTCTGATGTCAATGAGTGCCTATCTAACAATGGAGGATGTGATCCCAACGCTTACTGTACTAATACACAAGTAAGTTTGAATAAGTGGAAATCAGCTAGAATGCATCTAGTGAAAGAAACATCTGATTTAATTGGAAAAAGAGCTGGTGGGGAATGAAGCATGAGAGAGAGATTTCAAATATTGTATTATGACTAGATACAAGATATTTTTTTCTAAGAAAAAAAAAAGGTCATTAATTTCTCTGTACCTGACTTCTTATCTTTTTGTAATAAAGAGAAATAATTTTATATGTTTAATCAATCAAATTTCAGGGTAGTTACAGTTGTGGCTTCTGTAAGGAGGGGTATGTAGGTAATACTTTGACGGGGTGTGAGTTAGCTGACTACTGTCTCTCAGGCAAACACACCTGTGATGCCAACGCCACCTGTTACTACACAGGACCTCAGGAGTACAAGTGTGTGGTAAGAAGGACTTTGATTTATTAGTCATTAAGGCATGAAAGGTTAATACATTGTATCGGTACTTGTGTATGTAGATAATATTGTACATGGAAGAGGGGGAGGTTAAGAACAAGAATTTTTTTTATTCCAAGTTGTTGCATTAAATTTTGTCAAGGCATGTAGATTGAAAAACAATATTACATAGCAAATATATGTACTGCAGAAATTTTTTGTACATTTTTGTTTATTGATGAGATGATCAGCCAATAGTGCGAAGCTACCATCTGAGGGATTATGACTGAACGCCTCTAAGTCAGAATCTCGCCCAGATATACAACGATACTCTATACACTTTGGCATATTTTTTTATTCATTAAGTGTAACAATGGCTGGGCAGGTAATGGTTACCTGTGTGGAGATGATCCAGATCAAGACGGAGTCCCTACATTAGGTCTACCCTGCTCAGAAGCCAGCTGTAACTCGGTAAGGAACACTCCGAGTGATTCATTCTATTTTCTACATTTTAATGAAAAGAATCTAGTATTAAACAGGATATTTTATGTGTTGTAAATTAAGCAACAAAAAAATCATATCAGCCTAGATGATACAGGGTGTCCCAAAATATATGATGCCATTTTGAATTATTGTCATTAACGCAAGTCTTGACCAATTTCTTTGAATTTTGTCTCATTAAATATTTGAATAAATACAATTTTTAGCAACAAATAATTTCAGTTAAAAATTGTCACATACTTGGAATAATGTAGCCACATAATTATGTCAAAAAAATTGCTAAAATGTATGTCAAGCAAAATGGATTACTGGTAATGATTTACAAACAAGCTGGGTATACCCTCATTTTAAAACTAATCATCAAACCCAGTCTTAAGAGATTGTTACTAAACCGAAATCTTAATCTTTAATTTATAAAAAGGTATATTTCCAATGAAAATCCAGATTATAACCAAAGAAAACCGCACTGTTGTCTTAAGTTATGGAATTTTGTGCAATGTCTTGACATGATCATTACCCATATTTGACGTCATGTAGGGGACATAATTGAAAAATGATAGGATTTTTCAAAGTGAACTCATTTTGTCGTGTTCCTTTTAATGTCCATCAAATTGTGTGAATAAAATTGGACAGTATATGCAATGTTTATTGGTGCATTTGTTGTTATTCAAAATTCATTACATTATATTTTATATAATCATGAAATGGTATCATATACATGTATTATGGGACACCCTGTAATATCAATATATTGATTGTAAAAAAAAAAACAACAGGGAATTTAATGTGTACACACACACACCCTCATACACACAAGATTTCTTGTGTAATTGGAACAATTAAATTTGTATGTATACAGTATATAATCTGAAAATTTAAGTTAAAATTAAACTACAAAATTTACATTTAGAATCATGATATTGACACTGAATTGGAACAAGTAATGTGAATAGGTACAAGATGTATTTTAAAATAATCTTGTCGAAACCCTATTGTCTACTTGAACATTTTATATTCTTCAGGACAATTGCCCCTCAGATCCCAACAGTGGCCAGGAGGATACCGACACAGATGGTGTGGGAGACGCTTGTGATGATGATGACGACAATGATGTCATCTACGATAGTCAGGTATGATGTCATAGATCTACAATAGTCAGGTATGATGAAACATCTATGATAGTCAGGTATGATGTCATTTCAAAATGATGTATGGTGTCATCAGTAGTTAGGTGGGGATGTCATTATGTATAACAAGGGGGAAATCTGCAGTAAAGAACAGAATGATGTCAAAGCTAGTCAGTATGATGTCATCTACGATAGTCAGGTGTGATGTCATCTAAAAAAAATCTTAGACAGGCATATGGTGTCATCTACAGTAGGTATGATGTCATTACAATAGTCAGGTATTCTGCCATCTACAGCTGAGTATGATGTCATCTACAGTAGTCAGGTATGATGTCATCTACAATGATCAGGTATGATGAGGGAGCCAGTAGTCAGGTATGATGTCATCTATGGTGCCAGCTGTGAATGCAACCGACAGTCAGGTATGATTAACCCACGATAGTCAGGTATAATGTCATCAGTCTCAGACTGGAATTTAATGTCATAGATCTTTTGCCAAGTATCAGTACTGTAAACACCTTATTATTGAAATAGTCATTGATTCTTTACAAGATAAAAAATTTACAGTGTCAATTGTGGTAATTGCCATTTCTTGTACATCATACATGTACAACATGTCAAGTCCAATGAAATGAAAATACTGTAGATTGGCAAATTTTGCGAACATATCGTCTATGTTTGCGATTTATCCAGTTTTCCACGAAATTAAAACCATCGTGAATAAAAAGTGTTTTAATTCTTATATGATGTAAAATCTTGCAACGTGATATTAAAACGATGATGTTGTCTATGTGAAATCTTAACATTGTGTAATTAAAACGACTTACAGTATTCAACATGATTTGTGCTGAATATGCGTGTCAGATCGTACGACCTGTCAGAAATGTTTATCCTCCCTGGTACTGTGAGGGGGACTCCACCATCAAGCCCTGTGGTCGCTGTGACCCCCCAGTCTTGGTTCCACATGTGGCCGCTCTCCACGGAGCACAGTTTTGGAGCAGCAGCATCCTGTACCACATGTCCAGAAGGCTGGGTAAGTTAGCTTTTAACTTGCAAAATATACCAGAAATTTATTTCAGGGTTTTCATTAAAAAAGAGAGGCTGCCTAACTTCAGTTACTCAAGTTCTTTTATTAGGATAGGATCTTGGAGGTTAATTTTCCTAATAAAACAACTTTTCATGCAGAAAGATTAATGTTATTATGAAGTTGAAAATGCAGACTTTCAAGTGTATGATAGACATAATGATGTTAAAAATTTTGGTATAAACAGATATGTAAGGATGGGTATGCCTCACCATGTCCAGATTTCCACTATGTGACCTGTAATGACACTTACTGCCCTACCTCCTGTACTCAGTGTGAGCTAGGCTACGCCTGTAGAGGAGGAAAACTATACCAGTGTGAAAAGGGAACTTACTCTGATGGGAATGTCAGTGAGTAGAATACTCATTTCTGATTATTCTGGTTTATTACTGTGTAAGGTTATGTTTAGTGTTACGATTATTAACTAAACAGAGGGTCAAATAAAAAGCAAAGAGGTATAATAATTACTTGAATGTGTGACTTGTCATTACATAAATTGTCAATTTTGATCTTCCCTTCCAGAGTTCTGTACCATGTGTTCCCCTGGTAAACGCCAGGATGAGGTGGGACAAGGAGCACCTAAGACTGCCCCGCCGGTTACTACAGCTCCGCCAGTAAGGACCGCTGTGACCCGTGCGAGGCGGGACGTACGCCGCCTCTGATGGCAGTGGGTGTAACTCGTGTGGCTCCACCACCCAGTGTCCCTGTCTGGCCAGCACCACCCTGTGTTACCACCCTGATCTCTGCTACAATATGGATGGTAGTCATGGGTGTCTGTCGTGTCCCACGGGGTATTCAGGGAACGGAGTAACGTATAGATGTGATGAGGTACATTTCTTTAATAATTTAATCTGTTAAAAAGTTTAATGACCTTTCTACTTCTAAAGTAAGTATTTACCTAAATATGTATTTAACTTACATTTTGATTAAAAAGAGGCCTTATTTAATACTATAAATCACTTTCTATGACAGGAACTTTATTATGCATAATTTCACAGGTCTGTCTGCTTGTGAAAATTTTATTCTCACTTCTATTTATAACAATTTGGACTTTATATGCCAATAACCACAGTTCATGTAAATCTTGTCTCGCTTATAATTACAAAATAGCTTTTTCACATAAATAAGGTGTTGCAAGAATTTGGTGATCTACAGTAATTGGTATATTGATATTCTAATCTATTTGACGTTTCCTTTTACAGTGTACCACTTTATCCCCACCCCCCTGTTTTATGCAGCGCTGTAGAAACACGGAGCCAGGGTTCCAGTGTCTAGCCTGTCCCCTGGGGTACGTCGGTACCTACGAGGATGGGCTTTCTTTTAATATAAGTAGGAGGACCTTCCAGCTGTATAACAATGTGTTAGATCCTACACAGTACCAGACCTGCTCCGATGTCAATGAGTGCCTATCTAACAATGGAGGATGTGATCCCAATGCTTACTGTACTAATACACAAGTAAGTTTGAATAAGTGGAAATCAGCTAGAATGCATTTAGTGAAAGAAACATCTGAATTAATTGGAAAAAGAGCTGGTGGGAATGAAGCATGAGAGAGATTTCAAATATTGTGTTATGACTAGATACAAGATATTTTATTTCTAGAAAAAAGGTCATCAATTTCTCTGTACCTGACTTCTTATCTTTTTGTTATAAGGAGAAATAATTTTTTTATGTTTAATCAATCAAATTTCAGGGTAGTTACAGTTGTGGCTTCTGTAAGGAGGGGTATGTAGGTAATACTCTGACTGGGTGTGAGTTAGCTGACTACTGTCTCTCAGGTAAACACACCTGTGATGCCAACGCCACCTGCTACTACACAGGACCTCAGGAGTACAAGTGTGTGGTAAGAAGGACTTTAATTTATTAGTCATTAAGGCATGAAAGCTTAATATCGGTACTTGTGTATGTAGATAATATTGTACATGGAAGAGGGGGAGGTTAAGAACAAGAATTTTTTTTATTCCAAGTTGTTGCATTAAATTTTGTCAAGGCATGTAGATTGAAAAAAAATATTGCATAGCAAACATATGTACTGCAGAAATTTTTTGTACATTTTTGTAAGGTTTATTGATGAGATATATTTTTTTTCTTCATTAAGTGTAACAATGGCTGGGCAGGTAATGGTTACCTGTGTGGAGATGACCCAGATCAAGACGGAGTCCCTACATTAGGTCTACCCTGCTCAGAAGCCAGCTGTAACTCAGTAAGGAACACTCTGATTGAATTCGTTCAACTTCCCACATTTTAATGAAAAAAATGTAGTAAACAGGATATTTTATGTGTTGTAAATTAAGCAACAAAAAAATCATATCAGCCTAGATGATAACATCAATATATTGATTGTAAAAAAACCCCCAGGGAATTCAATGTGTACACACAAACACCCTCATACACTCAAGATTTCTTGCCGTGTAATTGGAACAATTAAAGAACTTTATGCGGTAATAACCAATATTTGCCCCCCAAATCAAACTTTGATGGAGATATATTCAATTAAGTTCTTAAACAGGGGAGTATCTGCTGACTTCAAAGTACTGAATATTTTCATAAGTTATGATGCCATATGTACGTAATGACGTCACAAACATGACGTAAATTTCAGGTTTTTTTTATGAATTTTACAGAAAAATGTATATATTTCGTCGATATCTTGAGTAAAAGTCACCGAGCGCATGTGTGTTCAGGATCAATATTTTGATATAATGTGTGGAATGATAATATCAATGAAATATGTCAATATTATTCCTGAACAAACTTGCGCTCTATAAATTTAAAAGCTAAAATTGTTGAAATTTTGTCCATTTTGTCCTCTTTCTGAAAAAGGATATAAAATCGGACTAGTTTGTGACGTCATAAAAACAAAAATTGTGAATACACTGCTTTGACACTATAATATTTTTTGTTAATTTATATTTCTCATACAATTTATTGAATTCAGCACATTTCAGGAAGTTTTCAAAATTTGACTTTTGTGGGGGCAAATATATGCAATATACCGCATATAGTTCTTTGTATCTATACAGTATATAATAGCTGAAAATTTAAGTGAAAATTAAACTACACATTTTACATTTGGAATCATGATATTGACACTGAATTGGAACAAGTAATATGAATAGGTACAAGATGTATTTTAAAATAATCTTGATGAAACCCTATTGTCTACTTGAACATTTTATATTCTTCAGGACAATTGCCCCTCAGATCCCAATAGTGGCCAGGAGGATACCGACACAGATGGTGTGGGAGACGCTTGTGATGATGATGACGACAATGATGTCATCTACGATAGTCAGGTATGATGTCATAGATCTACAATGGTCAGGTATGATAGTCAGGTATGATGTCATCTACAATAGTCAGGTATGGTGTCATCTACAGTAGTCAGGTATGATGTCATCTACGATAGTCAGGTATGATGTCATCTTCAGTAGTCAGATATGGTGTCATCTACAGTAGTCAGGTATGATGTCATCTACGATAGTCAGTTATGATGTCATCTACAATAGTCAGGTATGGTGTCATCTTCAGTAGTCAGGTATGGTGTCATCTACAGTAGTCAGGTATGATGTCATCTACAATAGTCAGCAGGTACGGTGACATCTTCAGTAGTCAGGTATGGTGTCGTCTACAGTAGTCAGGTATGATGTCATCTACGATAGTCAGCTATGATGTCATCTACGATAGTCAGTTATGATGTCATAGATCTATGATAGTCAGGTATGATGTCATAGATCTATGATAGTCAGGTATGATGTCATAGATCTATGATACTGTAGATCACCTAATTTTCGCAACACCTTATTTTCGTGAAATAGTCATTGATTCTTTATTAACGAGACAAAATTTTCATGAATTGTGGTAATTGCTCTACATAATCCTAAGGAAATCTATTATACGAGAGAAAGATATTTTTGCGAACATATCGTCTCGCGTGATAAGGTGAAAATAAAGTTCTCGCGAATAAAAAGTGATTTACAGTAGTCAGGTATGATGTCATCTTTGGTAGTCAGGCATGATGTTGTCTATGTTATTCAGGTATGATGTCATCTACAATAGTCAGGTATGATCTCGTGTCAGATTAGCTGAGAAAAAAAAAATATGAAAATAAGATTATGAAAAGTACTCTACATAGATTCAAGAATTTTGTTGAACTACCAAAAAACTAGTTCACATACATATGCATGTAGTTATTTGCTTTATTTGCGATCTCTGCAGTTTGACATGTAAGATTAGTATCTTATGCAATGAGGGAAACATTCTACAAAAATTCACTATTATAAGTGGTTCGATGAAGGAAATGGATGTGAGTAAAAAAATTGCCATGATATTGAAACTCACCAGTATGTACCACACACAAATGAAAGTTGACAGTTTTCTCTGTTTTGTTTAATTACAATGTTCCATTTTGACTTCTTTTAGGATAATTGCCTGTATGTGGCCAATTACGACCAGAATGATACCGACTCTGATGGTGTTGGTGACCGCTGTGACAACTGTCCTAACGTCGCTAATGCTGACCAGTCGGACGTTAATGGGGACGGAGTGGGGGACGTGTGTCATACGGACAATGATAAGGACGGCGATGGATTCCTGGACAGCGTCGACCTCTGTCCACTTGTGGCAACCACTGGTAAATATTTATGTTCCCCAAACGAAGTTGGGGAACATATTGTTTTTACTCTGTTTTTTATTATTATTATTTTTCTTCTTCTTCCTGGGTACTTTTTTGTCCGCGAGTGATCTTGTAAACTGTTCATCCGATGTAGGTAAAACCTTTTTAGGGTCAGTTGACATGTTATGTAGATTTGCGGAATCAAGGTCATTTTGCGCGCACGTGCTTGCAAGAGCGTGCACGTGCAACACGTGAAATGACCGATTTAATTGATATTGATGTAACTTTCTACATTTTTAATGAATGCTTTGAAACTCATAATATAAGGATATATTAGTACCATAGACAATATGACATGGTCAAAATAGCAAGATCTCACGCGCATGCACGTGCGCATTGCTCTGATTGGCTGCAACTAAAGTCTGAATATCTTTCTTGTTTTTTGACGAAATCCTTTGAAATTTTGAACATAGGCATGTATTAAAATATCCTACATAATGATTTAGGTCAATTATCATGAAAACACGTGCATCCACGTGCGCTGCAATCTGATTGGCTTAAACTTTAAATAGCTATAACTCCCTTGGTTTTCAACCAAACAGGATAGGATTTGGAACATAGATAGATATAATGGACTTCTACAAGAAGGTATTGTCACTATGCACATGCATACATGTGCGTATACGTGCGCTGCAGTCTGATTGGCTGAAACTTTAAACAGCTATAACTCCCTTGGTTTTCAACCAAACGGGATGGGATTTAGAACATAGATAGATGTAATGGACTTCTACAAGAAAGAATGGTCACCATGCTCATGTATGCACGTGCGTGCACGTGAAATGAAAAAATAAAAAAAAACAACACTCGAATGAGCGTATTTTTAATACTTTTGGATTAAATACTTTAATATTAAGTATAATAAAATATATAGATTGCGTAATAGATGGTAATTACGCACATGCATTCACATGTGCACGCGTGCAATGCTAGAATTTGAATGCACTTGGTTCACTTCAGGGTAAATGTTATTAAAGTCTCAAATGCATAGAGATTTTCTTATTTAGTGAAGCTTACAGGGAATATGGCACCAAAATGGAGTTGGGGAGCGTTTGGGGAACATCTGTAACGGTCCCCGTTACAATTAGCACTAGTTTCTTTTGTCTTTTAAATATGGGTAATGCAGTGCAATTTATTATGAAGTTAAGTTAAATGTAAATAATTGAATAGTCTATATATCAGTTTGGTGACAAGATGACCCTCCTATATTGGTAATGGCTTGTCTAACCAAGTATGATCATTCATTAGATTTACTACTTTTTGACATTGAAATTCACTTGCAATGCAATATTGAAAAAAGGTGTTATCCTTATGTAAACTTGCTGTAAACTTCCTATGGCATATTAATGAACTATACATCATTGATAAGGACATATTGGTAGGTACCGTACATATTACTAGTCCAGTAGTGTCATGTATTCAGTATGGAGTTGACTTTTGTAGTCCAGACAGACACAGACGGAGATGGTGTAGGAGATGAGTGTGATAACTGTCCACAAGTCAGTAACGCCGCCCAGACAGACTCCAACTTTAATGGTGTGGGGGACAGTTGTGATGGACAAGACAAGTAAGTTATACCACCTACTAACATCATATTTTGAACTCTGAACAGACATAGCTCTTCAAAAAGCAAACATTACTTTCCTCATATATACATTAATTTTATTACATTACAAATATGTTGGAAACAGTTTTATGAATGTATTTTAAAGGAATTTGCAATGCATATAGTGAAATGCAGTTACATTCATACATTACAGTAACAACTTACCAATATTATCAGTTAAATAAATCCTATTCTTTACAGAGATGGTGATGGTGTACCAGACTTTAAGGATAACTGTCCAGAAGTTCCAAACTCCCAGCAGACCGACACTGATGGGGACGGGACCGGAGATTTCTGTGACTCGGACATCGACAATGATGGAGTCCTCAATGCAGTGGACAACTGTGTGTATGTCTCCAATGCTGATCAAGCTGATGCCAATGGTAATTGTGAAACTTTGGACATTTATTTCAGATGTTGATATTGTATCTATAGCTTTTAATATATCTTTGTGACACAACTGTGATGCTTCATCTTGAAACAAAACGGCATTTGATCACATCATTTTGAATTTTGTTATAAAAAATATAGATTTAATATAAAAAGGGCAGTGAAGCTTAACAATGAATTTTAAAAGAGCTTGTCATGTGCTTTGTTGTAAAGAAAATTTATTTGAATTCATAAGGTAAGAGCACCTTGAAGAGAGTATTTTACGTATTTTCTGTGAACAGGAAACAGAGTTGGTGATGTTTGTGAAAGTGACCTTGACCAGGATGGTGTTATAAACAACCTTGATGTCTGTCCCCATAACAAGGACATCAGCTCTATAAACTTCACAGACTACTTTTCTATTGACCTTAACCCATCCTTGACCTCAGAGAAAGCACCTGTTATGGCATATCATACATTTGGAAACATATATGGACATATAGTGAGGGAAACAAGGGAGACGTGTGTTTTAGGCAACTCAGAGTATCCAAATTTTAGGCCCCTAAGATTAAATTAAACCAGCTGCTTATATAGGTGTGTATTTAATATTAGGACTTCAATCTTTATATTAAATACAAGATGTAGTGCACTGTTTTGTTCAAAGTCAAATAGAAAAAACATTTTAAAACTAAGTCTTCAAACTTGGAATTTTGTGTACATTTGTAGGTTATGCAAACCACTAACAACATAGGACAGAATTATGCTAATGCGCTATATCAGAGTTATATTGATCAAACATGAAAGAAGTCATACTGCCAAGGACTTTGACTATTGTGGAAAAAAAAACATGTTTTGAACATTAGGACCCTACACTCCACCAGAGGACACTTAGATGGAGAGAAGTGTAGAACAAGTTATAGGTCAAGGACCATTACAACATACTGATATCAAGGGGAAACTCAGGTTACACACTTACTTGACCATTTTCTTCTTACGTGGTTATCTTGTTATACATGTTCAGAGGAAAGAAGTTTTGTGCTATTCAAAATTAATTTTTTGAAGTTCAGCAACACTATAAATAAAATGGTTTTGTAAAATTTTAAAAAAATTATTGAGAAATGTGTGCATCTTTACTGAATTATCAAAATATGGATGGAAAATTTGAATTGGGCCTCAAGAAATTATACCTCATTCAGCTAACAGATTAGTCAATATTTTCTTGCCATATTTGTTATAGGCAATCGTTACTTTGATCACATGGAATACTCAGTTACTACATATGCCCAGAGTGACGAGTGCTATGGCTACATAGGGTTTATTTTTGGCTATCACTCCACCCAGGAATATTACATAGCACTGTGGAGACATGTTCATCTTAATTACAACTCAAAGGGGAAGTGTAGATAACATGTTTAGTTTATTGCACTGAACATTTTGTGTACATTTGTAGGTTATGACCATTCACAGATAAAGCGAAGTTATCTTGCACACCTTTTCTACTGTGGTTATCTTGTATAAATTTAATGAATTTCTTATATGAATGTAAAGAATTAGGATATAGTAAAGTAATTTCATAGGTCCTGATTATAACTGAGTTTTACTGTATAAGTTGAATATATTAATACACAGTCCTTTATGCACAACACAATTTTAAGTAAGTGAATAAAAATTGTTACAGATATTTATAATGGTTTGTTTATAAGTATGCATGCAATAATTTTAAGGTGTTTCTCTGTAATGAATCTGATTTTTGTCCCACAGACTGTATGTGAAGGAGGGGGACACCATGATCGCTGATTCAGGTACCCTGTATGACGTGTCCATTCCCGGAGGAAGGATTGGGGTGTTCTCTTACAACCAGACTGGGGTCATCTGGTCAGACATGAGATACGAATGTAAAGACAGGTCAGTTATAAAAACAACTAGACGGACAATCATATAAAATTGTAAAATGTATATGAAGGAATAGGATTTTGATGTTGCAAATTTGTTACTTGGATTGACTGTTAGACCTGAAATATTTTATAGTGGGTATTATGTTATCTTACAGAACCAACAAGGCTTTATCTTTGGATGGGTCTACATGTGGCATTATTGGGAATATGAGTGGACTGAGAATAGAGAAAAGGTAAAAGTATATCTGGAAATTTATTTTAAAAACCCACATTTATGAAAAATATGAAACATAAATTAAATTTACTAATTAACATTTTGAAAATAAAATCATCAGTTAACATATTCTAGGCTGAGTACATGTATGTAAGAGCCACCAATCGTTTAGCATTGAAACTTTTTTTTTTAGGAACAAAGATATAAGTTTGAAATGTTTTACTTTCAGTTTTACAATGGAAGCGTGGGTGAACCTTCCCACAGGATACCCCTCCACCAAGATCCCGATTCTCTGTACAAACGGAAGTGACCTCTGTCTCTATGTGGAGGGAGGGGTTTTCAAAAGCCAGGTCAAGACTTCCAGTGTGACTGGAACAACTTCCCTCACAGACAACAGATATAATCATGTGTTGATGAGATACAATGCACAAGGTTGGGAAATGACTCTACTAACAGTGCCAGGAATTATTTTATATATGAAAAAAAATGTGCACAAAATTTAAATAAAATTTATAAATTTTCTTTTACAGCTGCTACTCTAGCTCTTTTTGTCAATGGAACCAAAGAAGTTGAATCTACAGGCCTTGAAGAAATTTCTTGGGTAAAATTTTCTTTTGAAAAAATTAATGATTCCAGTGTGAAAAAGTGTTATCACTTGATAACTTGTACAGTAACTTTTGGTATAGTATTCATTCCATGTTTCTACATTTGTAGGCCACAGACTTGGTATTGTACATAGGATTTGATGGAAGTAATTATTTAACCGGAATACTCGATGATGTAAGTAAAAAACATCCTCAGATAGCTAGGCATTTATATTTTTATGTTTACTTTTTAACTTTCTGAAAGGTTGTAAAATTTTTCCAGGGGCATATTGACTTTAAAGCAATTTAATGTTTTAAATTTAAAAAAAATTTATAGTATATCCCTTTGCTTAATGAATTACAGATAAGGATATATAATGTCCAGATACCAGATGCAGATGTCAACAAATTCTGGCAGAAAGTAGGAATGGAGAGAGATTATAACAAGTACACATTATCAGCCCACTATACCATGGATGATAATCCTAGTAAGTCACTTAGTTAAGAACTTCAAATTGGAAGGAATTCTCTCCAGAAATGTTTACTTTTTAGCTCACGTGAGCTGTAAGCTCAAGTGAGTTTTCTGATCACATTTTGTCTGTCGTCTGTCCGTCCATCCATCTGTAAACTTTTCACATTTTCGACTTCTTCTCAAGAACCACTAGGCCAATTTCAACCAAACTTGCCACAAAGCATCCTTGAGTAAAGGGGATTGAAGTTTGTTCAAATGAAGGGCCATGCCCTCTTTCAAGGGGAGATAATTTGGAAATAGTGAAAATTAAGTGGCATATTTAAAAATCTTTTCTCAAGAACCACTGTGCAAAGAAAGTTTAAAAATTATGTGGGAACATCCTCTGGTAGTGTTGATTCAAATTTGTTCAAATCATGACCCCCCAAAGGGGAGGATGGGGACACTATGGGGATAAAGATTTACATAGGAATATATAGGAAAATTCTTTACAAATCTTCTTCTCAAGAACAGCAAAGCCATAATTGGTATATTTATATGGAAGCATCATC